AGCTATCAAAACGCCTTCCATTTGAAATAAATAAATAAATGCTAAATCATGGATTGAAAGGATTATTTACTGTTTTATTATTGCTGATTGAGTCCATATGGTGACACTCGGGGCTCGTTGAGGAGAAGGCGATTGAAGTGAAGAGTTGGTGATGCCAACGTGGATGATTTGCAAATGTTAACAGAAAGGGGTAGACGTGAAGAGCCTTGGGGTTTGAGCGAGAAGCCAGTGAAGTAGAGATGTGGTGACTGTTGTCATTGAAATCGAGGTAAATGGCATGAAATAAGCCCATTATTAACTAAGGGGAATGCAACCCTCCAATGCAGTTGCTTCACTATTACTGCAACCGATTTAGAAGTGATAAAATATTGTAAAATCGATGGGATTTTGGAGTGAGAATAAGCATATATTGTGAAGTATTGATCTGAGTGTAGTGAAATAATCAAGCTGTAGCTGCTCAACTACCACTTCTGTGTGTCAGAGTGGGGATGTTGGTTGGAATTTGGAATGCACTGATGGTGTGTGTGGGGGAAGGAGGGAGGGAGTAGTGGGAAGGACTTATTACCTCATTGGACACGTAGCCGATGAATTGGTCTCAATTAGCGCTGCGTGAGCTATGATGGTGGGCATTGTCACTATTCCATTCCTACAATGCATTCATGAAGTAGAGTTGAGGAAGTGAAGCTGTCTAGTTGGTTGTTTGGTTGCCTGTCATTGGGAAAGCGGGTGCCGCCTGGTGGAATTTTCTCACTTGTCGAAAAGTACCCTGACTGGTTGACCATCCACCAATTTCCTATGTGCAGAGAGCGCAGCTGAGGCTAAGAATACCACTACGATGGGCGGCAAATCCTCCAATCACACCTTGATCCAATGACCACATTCGGTGAGATGCTTTCTACTCTCCATCTCTTCACTTCCCCTGACCCATACCAGACCAGACCAGACCATACCATACCATACCATACTGTCTCACTATTCTTTGTGTTCGAATGCTCTTTCACGGTGCAAATTCGTGCTCATCTGCTTGCGAATACGTTGGTACTTATATATTTTCCTGATTTTGTTGTTTGCGATTTTAATTGTTATATTTGAATTTATTATTTTTAATGTGAGTTCGGACTACTTTACCGTGTATACGTTATTATTATTGTATTAATCTTTTTATCTATGACTTTACCGTTACTGATAATAAAGGAATTATGACTTTGGGAGTCATTTGTCTCTGTAATATGAGGTGTTTGGCTGAAGTTAGATTTGTGCTTCGACAGGATGCAATTTTAACTATCGAAAATTTTTCGTCTATACTGATATTTGTGACGGTTTGCTATGCTAGTCATGCCTCGACTGACTCAGAAATCTCTGTGGCAGATTCTACTTTATCTAGCTAGACTCCTTGGTAATTACGTTTTAAACAATTGTATGTACCACAAAATTCCCTTCCCCCTTCTAGTGCATGTTGTTAACTAAAATACAAAGAGATCGCTGAGTTAATAGGGAAAATGTTAATGTACATAATCAAGCAGTCGTGCGGTCAAGGTAGCACTTCTGCACTTTTGTTGGAAAGGCAATGACGAGAATATCAGAGTTGGACGTCCGTCATACTTGTGGTCCTTGAACGCTTACGAATGCCCTGTCGAATATTTCTCTAAAGTCAACGATCGGAGATCAACGTCCTTTTTGAATGGATGTTTGGATGCGACAATCCATGGTAATGGTCGAAATCGTCTTTCTACGTGCGTGCTTGTTATTATTTAATCTAAGTTTTAGTTTAGCTTTTTTTGATTCATTAGAGTCTAGTTTAGTTGCACCTTCATATCATCATTTAACATGATGGAAGTGGGGTTGGGAAAATTTAATTTTGTCCACAATACTAAGTTCTTCATTTCACATTAAGAGTACTGATTCCATTGTTCTCTAACTGTGATGTCATTATTACTTTGAACTACGAAATAATACCTTTCAATACGGATCTTCGAGTTCGAAATTTTGTACTTAACGTAGAAGTTCGATCAAATAAAACAATGTTATTTACTTTACTTTCACATCTTAGACTCCTTGACTCATTAATTTCCTTAATATTCCTATTAATCTTTAGTTCCTAAAATGCTATATTCCTTACTTAAAATTTTTTAAATAACTAAAAATATAAGTACTAAATTTGATCAGAAATAGCAATGGTTTATACATCGATCAATAGGAAATACACCAAAAGAATGCTCAGCGCGGAAGTACACAAACTGTATCCCAGTTGTAAGGAAGATAGCTATAAATATTGAAATTAAGTCTTGATATAATATTCGATGTTATGTTTGTATTGACAGGATAACTTACTGTGGCATAGTAATTACAAAGTTCACCTTGACAGCACTCAACGCAACGCCAGTCCATATACCATTCACGCATGCATTTAGGCCCAGCGAGCATTTTTTCGGCTTCACAAGAAGCAGCTGTACTGCAAGCCTTCCACAGAAAATGCTTACGATCACCAAATGGCTCCCAATAAGGTGGCACTTAAAGAGTAAATACTTATTTTGGAGATTATTATTGCGGAAAAATATAACTGAATTAAGTAGTCAAATAAACGAACGACATGAAGAAAGTACATAAGTTAAATGGGATATGAATTTATTGACGAAAAGGCAAGCAATCGTACCTGTATATGATATATTAGTTAAGCAAGTGTCTTCATTTTGCAAACATTGCATTGACGTTTTAACGCATTTATCTCTATTACCTTCTTGGTTATGGCAAACATAACATTCCATACATGAGCCTAATATTTAATGTAATTAAAAATCACTTACCAAAATGTAAAAAATAAAACAAAAACGCTAGTGATTTTCTTAAACACATTTTAAACACATATCAAATATCATTGAGACAACTTTTACAAATCCGCTGATAATTTATAAACATGTTTTGATAAATTTAAACAAGATGTAAACAAATAAGGTAATTGTGTTCTCAATTCTAAGTTTTTGATGCATTTCTAAATTCTATTTGAAATATTTTTACAGATAGAAGAGAAATATTTACAACTGAATAACACATAAATAGTCTGAAGTTAGTATAATAATATTGTTTCATAATTATTTCATTCTATGTCTTTAAAGGTAGTTTTATTATAATTCATTAATTATTAACATCAATATTTCAATTTTAAATTATTTAATTATTTCGTTTGATTTGCAAATGCTCTCGTATAATTTTATAATACTTTTATCGACCCAGTTAGTACCATTAATATTGTCTTCAAATCGAAAAAATATATTGAGACATTTTTGTTTAGCTGACTTTTGCCTCTCTTTCATTATAATTTCCAAATATTTTGGTAAAACGCTGGTTTTTTGTTAATAATTTTTGTGGCAAATTCCGTTGCCACGCATTGAGTTAAGCTTCTCCTGCTACTAAAACAGTTCGGTTATAATCTGATAAACGACATATGAGTTACAAAAAAACAGTGCGATCTCCGGAAGCATATATAGATGCTGTCGATTAAGTTACATGAATCCGATTACTTCATATCTGTCAACTTACCCCTTTTGTTAAGCTGCATACTACTACGCCCCACAGTTAAAAAGTTGAGAACTAGCGTCCTTTTTAAACTTCGAAGCACCCTCTAGTAATACTGCACCTCCCTCTCACATTTGTGTCCAATGACCAAACTTTAAGCACATTAAAATGTCCTAGCATTAACGGTCGTGCCAATGTTTCTGTAGTGCTTCAACACGCTTAGGTGCGCATCTATTTATTCTCTTTATTTATACCGATCAAGGAGTGTGTGATAGACTTACCTCCACGTGGTGCACCCTGGGCAACGTATACTCATGCGGCAAAAATATCTATTACCTGGCAGTTGACTTCAAACTACCATGACCCCACTGTATGTCATATTCGACTACTTTCACCGTACTCATTCTACCTTTTTTTCCACCTTATCTACCTTCGTCTTTGATACACTCATCTGTTCCCGCCCCCCCCCCTCTTGAATTTTTTACTCTTTGATGTTCCTTCCCCTCTGTGAAGACTGAAGTCAACTAAAGGGCTAATGATAACCGTCAAAACGCCTGCTATTTGATATAATAATAATAATTTATACCGATCAACAACACAAAACTAAAAATAAA